AAATTAAATATTGAAAAAAAAATAAAATTTATATTTTTAATATTTTTATTATTCGTCTAAAAATTGATTTGTCCATTTATAGGAACTTATTTTGCCCTATTTTAAAACGATTATTTTACAGTAAAATTAATATTTTTCCAACGTAAAATTTTTATTTTTATTTTTTTTTTGAATGAACAAATGAGTTGTAATTCTAAAATTGTATTTGTACTCTAGAAATACATAAGTAAACTAGATTTAAAAAAAGTAATTTTCTTTTGAATATATAGTGTTTATCATATAGAAATATCGTATAATATAGCAATATTATAGCAGTTGTCACGTTTCTTAATAGCTGTGAGGAAAATTGCTCTAATATTAAACTGTCCGAGTTTCTAGAACACATATTATATATTTTCTGCTTTCACATCTTTTGCGTCTCCTCCAAGTTGTTAAAAAGTGAAAATTATATATATATATATACACATATATCGATATAAATACGATCGTGTATCTTCTTGTCCATTTCAAGATCAATTTCGTCATAATTTACTAGATTTCTAATCAAATGAAAAACTAGTTTATTGACCTCTTAATTTCGATTTCAATTCTAATTTTAAATTCCAAAGAAACTTTCCTCACACTCTCTTTTTAAATTACACTTTTATTATACTATTAACTAGATCATTTCAATCTTTTTTTTTTTTTTTCAAAATTTTAATGATTCATTTTCACCGCGAAAAAAAAATTCTGATATTTAGAATATATATTATATGGCAGTTATTTTAGAATATTTTATATTCAAATTCAGTATGTAATATTCTTATAATTAGAGAAGAAAAGTTTTGTTTAATGTAAAGAAAATTTATTTTTGATTTAAAAAAAATTTATATAATTTAAAGAAATACTTTTTAAATTTCAAACAAAGTTATATTTAGAGTAAAAATATTTTCTTGAAATCAAATAAATTTTTTTTTAATTAAAGAAAACATTTCTTTGAGCCTACGTCGCAAAGAAATACTAATTTGATTCAAAGAAACATTTTTCCGGGTGTAGGTTTTAAAAAAATATTAGTAAGAAAAATCTAAAATGTTTGATAATATTACTACTATATTATATATATATATATATGTGATAAGAAAAATAATCAAGACCAAAAAGCAAATCTGTTGCTGCGTGGGTTTTAGTCGACAATGGTACAGAGAGAATATAAGAGAGTGGGTGTGGCATGGGTGTCTGATTCATCGTCTGCAGAAACTTTTGGTTATAGATTCAAAATTTATAGTCTTATTAAGTCGCGCCATTTCTATATTATAGGAGTTCACAATATCTATAAAAGCTACCATTCCCTGCAAAGTGTCACAAATCAGATGTTCCATTGATTATTGTAATTAATTAATTGAGCAGAATTTTTAATTGTTCTAATTTTTAATTTAATTTACAGAATTTGTTCGAATTATTATTTTTGATATAATTTCCATATAACCCATTTTTCATACTACAAAATTTTTACTTAACCGAAAAATAATTTAACACAATTTCTAATTGATAGAATTTTCATTTGTCCGAAATTGCAAATGGCCGAACAAACAATCGATTTTGTCGTGATTTTTAAAATCAACCAATCAAAAATTATCCATAAAATTGTGATTGGATGATTTTAAAAATCGATTGTTTGTTCGGCCATTTGCAATTTCGGACAAATGAAAATTCTATCAATTAGAAATTCTGTTAAATGATTTTTCGGTTATGTAAAAATTCTATAGTATAAAAAATCGGTTCTATGGAAAGTCTATCAAATAATAATTCGAACAAATGAAAATTTAATCTGAAAGAAAATTCAATGCTATATTAAATTCTGCCTAATAAAAATTCATTAAAATGGCTATTATTATGTTAAATGAAAATTTGAAAAAAAAAAAAATTTTGTGAAGTAAATTTTCGGTTATATATATATATAAATTCTATAATATATAGAAAATCGGTTTAATGAAAATTGCGGAAAATAATAATTCGAACAAATAAAAATTCGACTCAAAAATAATTATATATCTAATGAAATTCTGTAAAAAAAAAAATTCATGCCTCCCTATAACTAATGAATTTTAATTCTTATTCATATGCTTCCTCAGTGTATATCGAAAAAATTACATAAAAATGACATGAATTCTTTCAAACGAAGAATATTTCTTTTTTTTTCTTTATTAGAAGAAATATTCATATATAGAACAGCTCATCAGGAGAGTGATTCTAAATATGAATATTCATCTTATTCATTCATATATATATATATATATTCTTTAATGAAATACAATCTAGAAGTGACTGAATTTTCCAGAAAATTCTGTTTTATAGTTTGCATATTATGTATTAAAGAAGAAAAGCTTATCGAAAGAGAAAAAAAAATGGTAATTGTAAATGAGTGGGAAAAAATCGAGCAAGATTAGCAAAAGTGTACACTCATTTATCATACAAGTGCCGCTTTAATAGTCTCTTTCTTTTTTTTTTTGCCTTTTCTGCACTTTCGCTATAATATAAAATTCAATCACTAACACACGTGATTATAGATTAATCGAGCTAAAAGAGCTACTGTGCAATAAATAATTGGAGCGAAAGTCACTTGCGAGAGAGGGACTTCCTTCAATCTTGATTATTATTTTAACAAATTCGTGGTTTGGCAATATCTGTTCGTATATAGTCACACGCATATATATATATGTATACTAGAGTAAGAGGGATATAAACTGTTCAGCACTAACGCCAGTGTTAAATTGTAAATTGAATGCGGTTCTGAACACTATAGATGGATTTCAGGACAAACAGGCACATGTGTGTATCCGGTTTTTGGGTTTAATTTAACACGACTAATCTGAGCTGTATAATATGTTTGGTAGCAATATATAGTGTCTTGATTTGGTTAAATTTCGAAACCTCAATCAGTTATATAGTCACCTTTGTATTTATACATATTATAATGTAGGATTTGGAGATTAATTTTATTTTTATATTTCCACTCAAAATACGATATTTACTAAATTAAATCTTTAAATATTGCCAAACGTCATGTTATTTTATGGAAAATAATTCAATAACCTGACAAAGTAGAAGTTTATAATTTTACATAGGAAAAACAACCAGCTCAGGAGTTTTATTGTTACCTTACAGTAACGGTGAGGGGGAATAAGGATAAACACATTTATAACAATTAGATTATTCATTAATTTGCACTTCAAATTTAGAAAAGATGAAAATTGGCAGAAGAACGAAAGACAAGATTTAAATTTTTATTTATCTAATATTATATTTTAACAATAATTCAGATCGATTTGGAAAGAAACGAACGTAAAATAAATAATTGCGGGACTCGGAATTTAAATGATTTAACTATCAACGCCTCGTCCGAGAATTATTTACTTTACATTTTGAAATATTTCACCAAAAGAGAATGACACTAACTCGACGAACACCAGGATGAGAATGAGAGTAAAATGGCCGACGAGTCAAACTCGAAAGCGTCACTAATCAGCGACCTCTCTTCTCGGTGTAATTTAGATTAATTAATATTTAATACAATATCCGACCGTCGGTAATGCAGATTCCTGAACTATCCGATGTTGAATTGATCGATGTGAGAGTTCCATAGGAAAATGGCTGCCAGTAGTATTTTGACAGATTGTCAACAAAACGACATTTTCGTCTTCCTGGTGTTCTTGAATATTCGGAACTCACATCCAAATATATAAACCAGGAAAAATCTTCTCTTGATAATTTCCAATTTCAATAAACGATACTGATATCCTTAGCGTCTTTTTAACTCGAGAATTTTTATTACAATTTTCTTTGTTACTAATTTTCATTTTTCGAATAAACATTTCAAGGAATTTTTTATTTTTAAACTATTTTTTACTAAAAAATATTACTTTTTAGAAAGCGAATTTTTATTTTAACAGAATTTAAATTTTTGAGATTTATTATTCAAAAAAATTTTAAGTAATTCCAGTTTTGATAAATTGTGCCAAAATTTTTGTTTGTTCGGAGAAATGAAAATTTCGGCGTTTTAACAGTTTGTGCAAATAAAAATTCGGCGTACTTAAAATACTATTGAATGAGAATTCTATGTTAAATTAAAATTCGGTTAAATTAAAATTTAGTCAAATTAAAATTTGGTTAAATTAAAATTTAGTCCAATTAAAATTTCGTTAAATTAAAATTTAATTTGAATACAAAAATTGGAGATAGAAATTAATTCTGATCATTAAAAATTCGGTATCTAAAAATTTAGATGCAAATTCGGACCAACTAAAAGTAAATTTGATTTTAGATGTAAACCGGAAGTTCGTCCGAAACCGAAAGGTGTGGACTATGAATAAATAATAATAATAAAAAAAATGTAAATTTGATTTTTATAACATTTAACTTGTTTTAAATTATAATTTCGTTGTATACAAACGGAAATTCGGTGTTTAATTGACAAAAAAAATTATATTTTTGTCAAAGAGAAATTCGGCCAAAAATAATTGGAAAATTTTTTAAATTTATTTCATCTTTTATCTATTTTTTTTTTTTAATTTTTACCGCATGTAGCAAAAAATTCTGTAAATAAAAACAAATTGAGCAAGTACTCTATGTAGTGACAAGTTATAACTGAAAACCGGAATTAAAAAAAAAATGTAATTAAGAAATGAAATTAATCGATTACTTGGTAATTATAAGTACGTTACGGTATAAAAAATTGTTAAAAATAGAAATAAATAAAAAAAATTTTATTTAAAATTTCAACTCTATACTTGAAAAAGTAGAAAAAACTCTTAGAAATTAATGTTATAATTGCAAGTATATTTAATATTATATTGTATTATAAATGTAATTATAAACGAATATAATATTATATTCTTATAATTAATATAATATTATATAATTATAATACAATATAATATATTTTTTATAATATTAGATATAAAATATTAGATAGAAATAAAAAGAAGGAAAAAAAAGCAGTAAATTTATTTTTCTGATTACAGAGATTTTGATAGTTTGAACAAGGATGATATTTACGGAAACAACGAGTTGGCATTCAGGATTGCGGAGCAGCATCTGGGGATTCCAGCACTTCTCGATGCAGAGGACATGGCTTCGTGTGCTGTGCCAGATCGTCTATCGATTCTCACCTACCTCTCGCAATTCTATCAATCCTTTGGAGGTAAGAGATTCCCAAGATAATATCCCACACCGATATACATATATATATATATACATATATACAGAGAAAGATTTCCTCGAAAATAGAGTAGTATTACCACCACTTCAGCTCTAGCACTTGAAATTTTACACGGAAATTCCAATTGGAAATTCTATTTGAAAATGTCCGAAATTCCTTAACCCAAATGAACACGAATAATCCCCATGTGTAAAATTTATTACTCTCTGAATTTCCCAAGTTTCACAATTTATATAATAATATATTAAGGAATTTATATATCTATATATAGCAGAAATTTTAAATTGATTTATATATTATTTATTAAGCTAAACCACATAGAATTTTCATTTAACCCTATTTTTATTTGGCAGAATTTACTGAATTTTAATTACATGTTCTTTTTAAGTTAAACGTAATTTGCAAAGTAATTTATATAAGAATTTTTTTCTTTTATTAATTATTATTATAACCAATTAAATATTAGGCCAAATAAAAATTGTGCTAAATAAATATTTGGCACTTTTTTTGTACTACACGGTAAAAAAAATCTTTATCTGGAACTTAATCTAATTTTTATTCGGCCTAATATTTAACTAATTTTTTATTTAACTAAATTCTTATTTGGCCTATTCTTTATTTAATCGAATTCTTATATTCACAAAGCAATAAAAATTTCAAAATTTACACGGAAAAAAATCTTTACTTGAAATAGCGATATGTTTCTACAGAATATCGAAAACTTTTACTGTTTTAGTGAAACTTATCGCTATATCAAGTAAAGATTTTTTTCCGTATAAATTTTGAAATTTTTATTGCTTTGTGAATATAAGAATTCGATTAAATAAAGAATAGGCCAAATAAGAATTTAGTTAAATAAAAAATTAGTTAAATATTAGGCCGAATAAAAATTAGATTAAGTAAAAATTGAGCCAAATAAAAATATTAGGACAAATAATAATAAATAATAAAGCTAAATAAGAATTAGGTTAAACAAAAATTAGGCCACATAAGAATTAGGCTAAATTAATATTAAGCCACATAAGAATTAGATGGAATACACATTAGGCTGAATAATAATTAAACCAGATAAATATTATGCTGAATTTTCGTTAAATAAATATAAGGCTTAGAGCCGATTTTCACCATGTGGACAAATTTAATCTTCCGAGAGGTTAAAGGCTGCGTCTGCGCAGAATGTTTGACTTCTGCGCAGACACAGAATTACGTTTAACCTCTGAGAAGATTAAAACCCACACGGTGAAAACGGGCTCTAATTTTAAATAAAAAATAAATCAAGTAAATATTTATAGGTAAAATAAAAACTTTAGAAAAAGAATAAAAATTTTCAGTCATTTTTAATGAATTCTGAATTTTTGAGTTAACCTAAAAAAAAATAATTGAAAAATGGTATTATTTTGCAATGTTAATTTGTTTTTTTTAAACAAAATTATAAATATTGAATGAAATGCATTTTTAAACAGAAATATATTGCTTTCTGAGAATATATTTATTTGTTATATATATAGAGACATAACATTTGAGTATTATGAAAATTGCTCTCGTTTAAACATATACAGACAAACAGTATAGAGTATATAAAACGTAACCAATGATGATGGTGTTAGCTAAGAGGAAAACTTGAAATTACTTTAAAGCAGTATATAAGATAACATGAGTTTAGTTGTGGAAACGTCGTATCACATTACATTTGGCACATTTCACTCTCCCGTAATGGGTTGCTAAACGAACCAAATAGGGCAGAAACTGGCACTCATCCAGTAGACGTTGAGAGGAGGATTACTCTCATATGTACTTTCTCTATATACTACAAACAACCTCACAGTTCCTAGGTCTTAATCTTAGTTGTTTTGGTCTTCTTCTTTCTTTCTTTCTTTTTTTTTAGTTTCATGATTTTCTTAACAGGATTCTTCGCTATCTGAACCAGTTGATTCTCATCCTCTCAAGGTCCAGAAGTACCTATACATATATATATATATATTCGTATATACCTTTTTGAAAGTTTTAGTTGGGTTCTTCGGGACAGAAAAGTTTTTACAAATTTTTTTTTTTAGAAGTTGGACATTGATCATTTAATATAATTTCATTAAATATAATTTTGATTGAGCCGAATTTTATTTGTTCGAATTATTATTTTGCAGAATTAAGAATTTTAATTAAACCGATTTTTTAAATTACAGAATTTTTACATAAGCGAAAAATCATTTAACAGAATTTCTATAATTGATAAATTTTTTATTTGTCTGAAATTGCAAATGTCCGAACAAATAATCGATTTTGGCGCGATTTTTAAAATCACAATTTATGGATAATTTTTAATTGGTTCCTTCTAAAAATCGCGCCAAAATCTTTCTGTCGATTGTTTGTTCGGCCATTTGCAATTTTGGACAAATAAAAATTCTATCAATTAGAAATTATGTTAAATAATTTTTAGGTTAAGTATAAATTCGTTTAAAAGTCAGTTATAGGGAAATTCTATCAAATAAAAATTCGAAAAAATAAAATAAAAAATCATTAAAATGGCTATTGAAAATCCTGTTAATTATAATAAATTTAAAAAATAGTTTTTGGTTTTACTGCTGGGAATGCGTAATAGTGTAGTTTCACTTTTAGAACGAAAAATTTGTAACCTATTTTTTATTTATTTTGTCTTTTTTTAACAATGTAATATATAAAGTCAAGGTTTATTCTCTGCTCTTAAAACAATGTGTATACATGTATATACAAAGAACATCTATATATATACGGTGTTAAAAGTACCATAAAAATTTTTATACTCAAGTCATGTGAAAAATTACTTATCTTAACGATCTTTTAATTTCATTCTACTTCATAGAGGGGGGGAGAAAAGAAACTTGAAAATAATATTAAATGTTACTACTCAAGTAATAATGTCAAAAAAGTATGGTGGTCCGAAAAGTGCTTGGAATATTAATATTTTCTCTAAAAGAAATAACTCGACATTATATGTATATTCTTTCTTTTTTACAGTTTATAGAGTGAAAATAAAAAAAATTTATTTGATTCAAATAATCGGTTACTTTACTATTATCAAATAAATATTTATTGGTATTAAATATCATCTCAAAAAATAATTATTTAATATCAATAAATATTTATTTAAAAATAGTAAAATAATCGATTATTTGAATATTATTTGAAAAAAATACTGAAGCATAGTAAATATTACTGTTTCAAATATACAGTTTATTTAATTCAAATAGAAAATAATTTGGTTTACTATTTTTTTAACTTAAAATTTCTTTAGAAAATAATAATTTCTGTATCTAAATAAAAATTAATAATAATTTATCACCGTCAACTGGGGATATTATACTCAAAAAATTATACTTTTTTTACTCAGTGTTTCACAAAAATTCAGAAATTAAACAAAAAAAAATTTCTGCTCTTATGTGTTATGTTGTGGACATCCGTCTGAAGGTATTTTGTAAGTTAGACAACAACAACAAAATTTTTTTTACCAGAGTTATAGAAACTTAAAGTGATGAGTATAATAGCCCCGCGGTTATTGGGGCTATTATAATCAACCAAGTTTGCTTATTTATTAAACTTATTTACCTACTTACAATATTGCGAAATACTATAAAACTCTTTGAAATCCAGTATATAAAGTTTGCGAATGTGCAAAAAAAATTTTCCTACTTTATGAATTTTTTTTTCTGCGTTCTGACAGAAAATTTATAAAATTTAGCAGCCCTCTATTTTTATATAATAAAACTATCAAAAAATATTTACACCAAACGTCAAGTTTAAATATTTCTATTTAAATATTTTATTAATTAAAAAACTAGCGCTGAGTAAAATAGCCCCTCGGCTGAGTAGAATAGCCCCGGTTAACGGTAAATGATTAAAGTAATTTTTTTTTTATTTTCATTGCTGTATAGTAATTCTTAAAATTTTTTAAAAAATAATAATTTTGTTCATAACTCTAGGCACATAAAAAAATTATAATAATTTGTTTCTGTTAGATCATACCTATATATTAATATCTCAAGCACGCACATTTATCATTCATTGAAACAAATGAGAATTTCAATAGAGAAATTTAATCTCCACCCATAGATATATATACAATGTGAACGCGCGCGCAGGTGTGGAGAATAGTAAAACAACAATTTTCAAACTATATAATTTTTTTTTTTTTTTTTTTCTTTTTCATGCTCGATTGCAAATATTTGCGCGACAACGCAACTCTATAGCGCGAGCGCGTAAGTTATATAGAGACGCATAATAATTCTAGAACCGACAAGGTGCAACTAATTACATCGTAAAAGTGAAAGTTTGAATTGAATTGCACTATTTACAGGAGAGTTAGTTATAGATTGAAAAAAAATTCCCCTCCTCCCTTTTTACTTTTCTAAAAGAGTGGAAAAATGTTTTATTATTATAGATTATATTTGCTTTGAAACATCATTATAAATTGCTTCAAACTCTTCTCTCTTTATCTCTTGTGTTAATATAGCAAATATTATTATATATAATAGCTTTAGATTTGTAATCACTGAAAATCCACTCTTTTAATAAGTAATTATTCCCTTTGCAATTTGAATTAGTTTTGATTATATATCCGTTTGCCTACTAGAGTTCACTCTCTCTCTCTCTCTCTCTCTATCTAAATTTAAATTAGTTTAATTTGCGAATATTCTTGGTTGACTGTATATTTATTAGGAGCAAATAGTAAAAAAAAAATATTGTTAATAGAAAAAATTAGTCAAAAAATACAAAATGTTTCACGCACTGAAGAAAGGGTTCTAAGAAGCAAAAGAATTATAGGTTATGTTTTGAAATTTTTAATAGAACACACAAATAATAATAAATATTAATAATAATAATAATAATAATAATAATAATAAGAATAATAAGAATACTAAAAATATTAATAATAATATAATAATAATAATGTACAAAATTTCAGAGTTATTTTACAACGTCGGAATTTGGAAAAAAAGTGACCACCATTT